CGATCACGGGGCCTAACCCATTGCACACCACACCCCCATAGTCCCCACTATTGCCCTACCCACCACCAATTGTGTGCTGCCCCCCCACAGTCCCCATGATCACCCTGCCCTCTGCCAATTGTGTACTGCACCCCCAGCACCATCACTGCCACCCATTGCCTGGCTTGTGGCTACTTGTCCAATGCAGCAAAATGCCCATGTAAAACTGCCTCAGTGAATTGGCTGGGATGAAGGGCTAGGAATGGAGGGTCAGAGGGCTGGAGGGCCATTGGTGGTGGACAAATGCTGGCAGAGGGCCAGTAGAAGAGGAAAGCCCACTGTGGTTCAGCGGCAGCGGTTGGCTGGGATCAAAGTGGGCATGGCAAAGGGTCAGCGGCTATATGTTCTGGACATGTTCAAGTACATCCTGAGCTACAAAATTCACTGAATGACTTTGAGCCAGTCACTTTTCTCTTTCTGTCTCAGAGGTCTGTTGTGAGGATAAATGGAGGAGGGGATGTTTTGTATGCTTCTTTGTGCTCCTTATGAAGGATGTCTAACAAATCAATTTGTATTAATCAATTCTTCCCATCACCCTGCTTCCCACAAGCTTTCAGGCTAAGTGTATCTGGGTAGCCAATATCCAGATAATTATGTTCTTAAGGGTAAGGAATGGATTCAAGATATATGTTATCAGTAAAATTACAACAACAAATTATTCTTCATTCTTGCAGTGATGTTGACAGCTTGTATTTATCAAGGAGCATAGGTGGCATGAAATGTTGCAAGTACACCAGACAGTTGAAGAAAAAGGGGCATTGGAAGAATATCTGAAGGATAGAGAATAAGATGCACTGAATCTAATATATCATGAATATCAGTGAAATCAGTGTTCTGGGATTGGCCTTGCTCACCATAGTAACCATATTTTGAACAGGACAAAAAACCATCCATGACAATCATTTTGTGGAAGCATTCAATGACATACATTCTTAAAATTCTAAATGTGCACATCCCATAGTCTCCCTTGACTATGGATTGTATGTCAAGATGTGGTTAGATCTATGAAGATATTTTTATAGAAAACTATCTTTGGAGACCAGAAGTTTCTTTTAAAAAGCTGAATTGTTTACACTTACCCAAGATTACTCCACCATATAGCATTTCCCCAGAGTAGTTCAAGATACATGCAAGACAGATATTGAATTGATTCAATCAATATAAAAATGGAATGAATCATGTTGGCTGAGTTTTTATCTAATGCTAAGATGTAAGCCATACTTTATGTTTTGCTAAGCCATGATGAGATTTATTGTCTGGTGATAACATTTCCATGTATAAAATGACCTGTCCAGTAGCCAATGGTCGTTTTCAGATGACACATCTGACCCTGACCCAGCATGCTACTTCCCTGGGATAAGTATGAAACTGTTGTTCAGATGATACACTGGCTGGGCAAGTTAGTTTAACCTGACTCCTCACCCTGGGCTTTGGATTTTACCCTCCGACTTCAGTGCTGACTGATTACAATGCTCACACAATATGCTAATCCCAGCTTAGCCCAATTAAGCATGTTGCACGAGCATAACAAATGGTTGTAAGGTCACTGTGGAAATTCTTGGAACTTCATGTTCTGCAAAGGAATTAAATGTAAAGGATATAGACTCCAATATTTATCAGAACATTCAGTGCAAGGTCTTATTGAAAAGGGTCATCTTATTGAAAAGGAAACTGTTAAAATTTGTAATCATGCAAAGATAGCATATCTGATTTATATTTAAAAATAATTTCCAGTAGCTAATACATGTTTTGAACATACAGAACAGAATCTATGTTGCATAGTAATGCCTGGGCTATTTTGGGTATGAAATTATTATTTTAGATGGAATACTTTAATGAACTTGTTATGAATTTGTAATGAATCTCATATGTAATTGCTATTATTATGGTTTGTTGCACAGTCATCAGATGTTTAGATGGAATTTGGCATTTTTATCTACCTATCAAGTCCTTCCCAAGGACCCAGGATAGGCAGATGATGTTGTTTGATGGTGTTAAAGATACCATCACAGGATGTAAGCTGTTCCAAATAAACTTTCTTTTGCAATTGATTGATGGTTTTTCTCTTCTCTTCTCTTCTCTTCTCTTCTCTTCTCTTCTCTTCTCTTCTCTTCTCTTCTCTTCTCTTCTCTTCTCTTCTCTTCTCTTCCCTTCCCTTCCCTTCCCTTCCCTTCCCTTCTCTTTTTCTGCAGTTGCCAGTCTCAGCAAGTAACTTATTATTACTAATCAATATTTTATCAATGCATTTATTTCATTGGGAAAGTGTGACCCAAAAAGAAAAAAACTCCACATCTTTAGGCAAAACAAGTTCTATAGTCAGCTTAAAAATGCGTAAAAATATATCCTAAAAAAATGGGGGCAACCAGTTATCTGCTGTGCTTTTATTATGCCTCCTGTACAGTTAGCATGGCAGGCTTGTTGTAATCCTGTCTAAGAGGAGAAGCTTCAGATCTGATTATACATTTTGTAATAATTAGATGGAACAGTTGCCATCTGGAGACCAGCATCTTACATATATAAGGCATTATAATCCTCTGTATCTGCAGAAATAGTGATCAAATGCAGTTGCTTGGTTGTCAACTCTTCTTGATGCAGCCTTTTTACTGACTGGAAGGGAATCTATGGCAAGCTGGATAGAACCACAAAGAGAGAAAACCAATGAATTTGATGATCTAAACTCATTTGCTCCACTAAGAGCAAGGAGACCTGGAATTATTGCTCTTGGACTCATCTCTCATTATTTGGCTAGCTGAATATAATTATCAAAATAATTTATTATGGGGATGAAAATGACCTGGAATTTATAATCTACAAGCTGGAATAATTATTAAAAACCAAAATACTGAACTTCAGTTCTGGAAGATAATTCACCAGAGGAAAGTGTTAGATAATAGAATACTAATGGGAAAAATGCATGGCAAAGGATTTTTTTTCTATCGGTGCTTCAGTGCTTCAGAATTTTTCCCACACAAAAAAAATAAAAATTAAAGAAGAAATGTGCTAGAGTTAAACTAAAAGTCAAAACATAGCATGGAATGTTTTTACTTAATTTTATAGAGTACTACTTGTTTTCTGTGTAAGAAAGGCTAATCTGAGAATTAGTAGGGAGCTTTCAATTATTTTCGAGCTGTTCTTCAGAAAAAGAGGACCAGGATTTATTTCATACTAGGTATAGCCCTGAGTAAGTATTATAAAACCACTAGTCTAGCTTTTGTGATTGTTTGATGTTAAGAAAATTATTTCCTGTGTTAAACTATTCAGCATATTATTCCAGTAATTATTTTATGGTACATTTTTAAATTCCAAAGATCATTTCAAAAAGGAGCTACTTTTTAATGTTTAGGAATGATAATTGTAGATCAAAAGGTATCAGTGCAATACATCATTATAATACTTCTATGACCTGCAATTAAATATTTGATATACAAGAATCAAAATGCAATCCTAAAACCACCACCAAATATGTGTGCATAGGATTGCCCAATTGATCACAAATCAAACATAATGAATCTACATTTACAACATCTGCCCCAAGACTAAAAAAAAGAAAAAAAATTTCTTTTACTGTTTGATAAGATGTTTCTAACTTCAGTTTGTGTTGAAGCTTGAATCATGCTGTTGCTTCTTAGTACTGTAGTGCAAAGTATGTATGACTTTTTCTCATAATACTAGAACTTTGGGCTGTTCAATTAATCTAAAAGGTGGAAGATTCAGGAAAAAAGGAAATATATATAGTACAGCTTCAGTTCTAGCTACTGTATCACCTTTATTAGATGAATTTGTTTATTTAGTATATGGTGTATCATACATGGATTTTCAATACATATTGACATTTCACCTAGATTAAACACACAGTAAAATATGAATGTTAAAAAAGATCTACATTCAGATACCAATGTCAAGGCCATCTAACCATTGAAGTACAGCTTCATTTATGTGAGAGAAAAAAATCAGATATTGGACTGGTATATGCCCATGATGTGATCTACCGTTTGACATGGGACCCTGCAGTTACACTGAGGGGAAGATATGCTGTATGAGGTGCAAATCTGATTCAAGATTGTCCATTGCTGGTGTGGTAGTTCAAAACCTGGCACCTTTTGCATAGGATGATTTAAATATCTACTTCTGTTGGGCTTTCAATAATTCATTTGGGTTTCCATTCAGAATCAGTGTTAAACTTGTTAAGCAGATGTTGGTTTAACTGATGGGTTTCCTAGATTTGAACCTTCCAATGGATAAATGATGAAGGTTGGTGTGCACTGGTAGGAGTGAGTTGTTCATAATTGTTCATATTTTGTCTGTATTCTCTCACTAATGCATCTTGCTTTTGTAAAGCTAGCAGTGCTATATAGCTCAGAACAGAAAGCCAGCAAGTTGGGGTGACTTTAATGCACCTGCTTATAACTCCCATGATTTCATTGAATCTGGTGTCTAGCTTACTAGTATGGCAGCTGTTGAACCAAAATCAGCCAGATTTTTTGCCTTCTTTACTGGTTTTCAAAAAGTGGTTTGGGAGCACAGGTCATTTCTCCTGGGCGAGGTGGAGTTTTCCTCTTGCCGGATACCATTCAACAATAAATCCATCTGAATTCTGTAAAAAACTGAACAACATATTAAGGAAGCCCAAGAGAAATTAAACAGAGTATGAAATATTTAATCAGATGAATAAAAAGCAACCTTTGTACCAAGTTAAATTGGATTTTGAAATGGACACAACTGTATATAATTTTAATAGGTAATAAAATCTGCAAGTAAAGATATTAGCTAGATCCTACCAGTCTTTGTGAAATTTGGAGATAACCAAATTTATGGACCTATTTAAATCATTGATCTTGGCAAGAATGACTGTTTGTTGCTTTTGTTGAAATCTCCTTTGTTGGCTATACATAAATTAGGGAAATGTTCTTCTTGAGATTGTGAGACAAAACATTGACTTCTTGTCTCTTTATTTCCAGATTGCTTTTAAAATGAGTAAAACATCTTCAACCAACAACTCAGTGATCCAACCTTACAGTTCACAGAGTGAACAGTCTTTATCTGTGCGCCCATCCAATGTCATCGAACCTAGTGTGGCCAAACGGATCTGCTTTTATAAGAGTGGAGATCCTCAGTTTAATGGAATCAAAATGGTTGTAAATAGCCGCTCTTTCAGATCATTTGATGCTCTGCTTGACAACTTGTCAAGAAAAGTTCCTCTGCCTTTTGGAGTAAGGAATATTACTACACCGAGGGGGATGCACAATGTCAACAATCTGGAAGACCTTGAAGATGGAAAATCATACATTTGCTCCCAACAAAAAAAAATCAAACCCATTAATTTGGAAGTGGCCAGAAGAAAGCCATTGCCATGGCAAATTAGTAGGCCCATCAGTGCTGGCCGTAGGGCTGTACAGTTAACTAAAGACAGCAAAGGAACTGTGTTCCAACGAGGTAGCACTATACAACTCAGCACCCCTAAGAAGTTGCTCGTTTTCAAAAATGGCAATGCAAAAATTCGGTGCACAGTTGTCTTGGGTAAGAAGAACACACAAAGTTTTGAGGCCTTTCTGGACCACATCAGTGAATTAATGCAGTATTCAGTGTTGAAATTATATACTATGGATGGGAGAAAGGTAAGTTAACTGTAAGATAAGCATCAAACATTTTTTCTTTTTGTGGGGTTGGGAGAGAGACTTCTTGTGAGTCAGACAATATCTCTGATGAAATGCTTTTCAGTAGAGGTGCTTTTACTATCCAAGTAGGCCATCAAAAGAGAAACATTTTCACTTTTATAGCAAGTATTGTTTATTTGTTTATGTTTATGTTTATTTAAATTTGTATACCACCCTATCTCCCTTACGGGACTCAGGGCGGTGAACAGGCGATAATAAAAATCACAATAAATATCTATTCTAAAATCAGATTAAATAAATAAAGGCCTGCTCTAAAATACCCCATATAAAAACCTGTACTAAAACCTAATTAAGACTATGCCAGGCCAGCCGCACGGAATAGATGGGTTTTCAGGGCTCGGCAAAAAAGGCGCAGGTCCGCAGTTGTACGTAGGTCGGGGGGTAGGTCATTCCAGAGGGCAGGAGCTGCCACAGAGAAGGCTCTCCCCCTGGGGGTCGCCGGCTGGCATTGACTGGCCGACGGCACCCTAAGGAGGCCCTCTCTGTGGGAGCGGACTGGTCAAAGGGAGGTATTTGGTAGGAGGCGGTCTTGCAAATACCTAGGTCCATTGCCATGGAGCGCTTTAAAGGTTGTTACTAACACCTTGAAGCGCACCCGGAAAGCCACAGGCAGCCAGTGCAGCTCACGCAGGAGAGGTGTTACATGGGAGTATTTAGAGGCCCCCAAGATCCCCCGCGCGGCCGCATTCTGAACTAGCTGGAGCCTCCAGGTGCACCTCAAGGGGAGCCCCATGTAGAGAGCGTTGCAATAGTCCAGGCGGGAAACAACGAGGACTTGAGTGACCGTGCATAGAGCGTCACGATCCAGAAAGGGGCGCAACTGGCGTATCAGGCGAGCCTGATGAAAAGCCCCCCTGGCCACGGCTGTCATATGATCGTTTAAAGACAGCCGAGTGTCCAGGAGGACGCCCAAGTTGCGGGCCCTCTCCACAGGGGCTAATGACTCATCCCTGATAGCCAGGGATGGAGCCAACTGGCTATGTCGTGATGCCGGAAACCACAGTCACTCGGTCTTGGACGGGTTGAGTCGAAGCCTGTTCCTCCCCATCCAGAATCGCACGGCCTCCAGGCACCGGGACATTACTTCCGCGGCATCGTTGGGGTGGTCCGGGGTGGAGATGTACAGCTGGGTGTCATCTGCGTACTGATGAAACTCCACCCCGAAACCACGGATGATCTCACCCAGTGGCTTCATATAAATGTTGAACAGGAGAGGCGAGAGGACCGACCCCTGTGGTACCCCACAAGTGAAGCACCTTGAGGTCGACCTCTGTCCCCCTGCCAACACAAATTGCGACTGGTCCGAGAGGTAGGAGGAGAACTACCGTAAAACGGTGCCCCCCAACCCCCCTAAATTGAAGCATATGGAGAGGTCATCCATTTTTTCTAATTTTACTAAACGCATATTTAATATGGTAGTGAGCTGGGTGGCAAACGAATAAAATAAATAAAATAAGTTTTACTCAGCTTTTGTTACTAGTAGGTTAACGTCTTACATTTCAGCATCTATATATGTTTTTCTTTATTTATTTGTCTGTTTGTTTGCTGCCCATCTCACAAAACAAGTGACTCTACAACAAATTTATTGTTAAATTTTTCACCCACACAGATCAAGAAAAGTAGTCTGCCATCTTTCCAAGTCTTTTACATTTAAAACGGTTGAGTTACATTGTCCTGTATTCCCTAGTTATTACTAGATGTTTCAGTATTAAAGATGAACATGGAAATGTTAGAAGCACAAAGTAAGGAAGTCTTGGTAAATGCGAAGAACTAGCCTTGCTTTAATCTGCACCTTCCTGTTCTACTTCAACTGTGTACTCTTGTTAAGGAGCTTTTCCAGAGCATCTACAGGAGTGTCCTCAATCTTACTACTTGCAATTAGCTACATCATAATCTCTTAAAGGCTATACTATGCTTAGACTTCTCATGAGACATAATTCTTGTTTTTTTTTCCTACAAAGACCTGAAGCAATTCTATTACCCCTACCTACATCTTTATTTTGCCCCAGAAGGAAGCACAGAAATGAGTCCTTTTGTCAATTAGCATCATTTAGAGTCATCTTGTAACATAGAAAAACAATGATTTTCAGTGCAAATTATTGTTATATGTGTTGTTGTGCATTAAAATTGAATATAATTCTGTGTATTCTAGACTTCTGTGCAGTTTTTTTTAAAAAAAGGAAGCACTAAGTAGGAGAAAAGTGCCTCTTTCCATCACTGTTGCATAGGAATAACAGCTTTTCAATGCTCATTTTAAAATTGAAACTATTTGGAGACTTGTTTCATGTTTTTGTATCTAATATATATTTAGGCTCACATTGCTAAACATTACAGTTTATTTAAATTTTGAAAAGTTATATTGATTGTGATGCTAAACCCTAATGACAGTTCCAAAGCTGTAACCTTGAGTTCCAACTGCAAATAATTCCATGTTTTTTAGTACACACAGACACACACACACATAAACTGGAAACAAATACATTCCTTATGATTTCATAGGAGTGAACAAATTTGGGCAGGCAGAGGAGCTAGCTATTTTTAAATGTTTCTCTGCCTGCTGCCTTCCAGCAGATTTCTGCTATTTAAAAAAACACAGTTGAAATATTTTAAGTTTTCTTTTCCCAAAATGGCTGTGGTAAAGCTTTGATGAATATTTAATATCAATATTTCTTTGTCAAACAAGAAAAATGCTAGTACTGTGATTATAGAAGAGATGGTTTTTAATTATGATTTAGGGCTGTAAAATCTTTTTTAAATGTTAATTATGATTAGGGCTGTAACATTTTATTTAAAAGCTTTCATTGTTACATGAACTTTTTTTTCATATTAGGGATGATAGCATGATACTTACCAGCATTGCAGCATTTACAGATAACTACCTGCTGGACACATTCTTGCTGAAATACACCATGAGTTTATAAAACTTTTTAAAAATTTTCAAATGACAACATTTCAGTTACTCAGCCTAGTTTTATGTAGAATTTTTCTGATTCCCAGGGAGATTTAAAGGAAGTAGAGGTGGGTAGTAGGTGGAAAATGGAGCAATGCTAATAAAAGGAAAGAATAATAGATCAGCCTGAGAAAGGGTAAACCTTGAAGCAGAGGCTGTGGTGTGCTGAAGATGCCTCTCAAAAGCTGATGGAGTTGTTTCTTTTTCAGGTTTCCAACCTTCAGGGTCTGCTATTGTGTTCTGGAGCGGTTGTGGCTGCAGGGAGAGAACCCTTTAAGGCAGGGAATTATGATCCTCGTAGGTATTCATTGCCTTCAAGACTGCCGGGAGTCTCCAGTCGTGTTCACCCCCAAACAAACCTCAAGTCAGAGAGCAGAAAAAGTAAGTTCCTTAAATTTTTCCCACTTTTCCCCATTCTTTTAAATTATCGATAAGGTCAGCCTTAGTATTAGATAGAACAAATTGGCCAGCTTGGGAAACTAATTTTGGGTATCATGAAAAAGATAACAAATGGTTAGTTAGTTAATAGGCTGCTGCTGCTGATGATGATGATTTAGCCTGGGCATTGGGGAAACAGAGAAAGACAGATAACAGTGTTATTTTCAGCTTTAGGTGCCGAAATAATTTAACTTACTTTCACTCTCCACTTTGAAATTGAAAGAATGTGAAATGTCTTTTGTTGTCTTCAGAAAACAGGATATCTTTGGCCTGCGTTTATATATATAAAAAAAGCAAAACACAAAGACCGGACTGAACATTACCAGCAGTCATGTGTCAATCACTTTGTTTTATCCCAATCTACTTTGCTGAATTGCTATAAAATTTTGATGAATATTATATAATTATTTGTTTATTATATCAATTTATATAGTAGTGCATCTCACAGTTGCTAAATTAACAAAAAGGAATTTCAGTGTATACTCAGCCCTGTTATATTAGGAATGCTTTTGTTTATTTGTTTTTGCCTAATTTAATTTGTTTTTGCCTAATTTATCTGCATGTTTTGTACTAACAACATTTTTTGTGTTTTTTTTTTTGCCTGTTTGCTACCTGTCTGCTGCTTTTGTTTTGGATGATTATGCTGGATGACTATCTTCTGCACTTTTAATCTAACCTTGTCATGTTGGGTACTTTCAATAAATTGCTTGAAAGTGAGTGGGATTCAGATAGATTCAAGAGCCAGGACCCAGATGTTCTCTGCTTCTTCTTATAAGGAATACAGCAATGATAACAATTCAGATTCCTCTTTTATACCTGACAATGACATGGACACAGTAAAAAATTGTTTGCATGCTGATGAAGATTCCCCTGTGGGGCATTTCACTGATGACATTGAAAAGTCTGTTCATCTTAATCAAGATGGCAGTATGACAGTTGAGATGCGAGTTCGATTCAAGATTAAAAAAAAGGAAACTATAAAATGGACCACTACTGTTACTCATGCTGGCACTTCAGCAGTCATTCCAGAAGATCAAGCATCTGATTTAAATATTTTGACATATAAAAATCCCACAGAGGAGTTCAGAATCCCTGAAAATGATGTCCTAATGCAGCAAATCTGTACAAAAATGATCAATCAAAATTCCTCGAATCAATTTAAAACTAACACTTATGACCTCTGGCAGGATCCACTGATGAACACAGAGTTGAGACAGGAAAGAAATAATGATTTTAAACTTGATTTCCATAGACCTGCTACTCCTGGGCCTAGAAAAGTTGGACAAAAGAAAGCACTGGTTGAAAGTCTTACAATGGTATCAGACACAAGTGTCCAAAAAAAGATGGTAGGTCAATTTTCTATCAGTGAAGAAATGGACAATGGCAAAACCAAATCTAAGCACTGCATGATTACTCATGCTAGCAGCCAAATAACAAATGTTACTAACCCCCAAATTAGTGGTGTATGCAATAATCATACACTGAATCAAACTCAGACTGAGCAAGAGGAGAAACAGATGTTGAGTAAAGACACAATTAAAACATCCTATGATCTGCCTGCAGACGATGGCTTATTACAGAATGTTTTGGAGAAATCAGTTGTAGAGAAAGGGTTACCTAACAGTTTAACACCTGAAAGTTATTCTAGTATTGGACAAGGACAATCTTTGGTAAAGAGGAATAATACATCTAGACCATGTTTATCTAATAAATGTGATGCTGTAGAACAAGAACTAAGTTCCTTTAACAACCATTCAGAATGGTCTCAGTCAAAAAGCAAAGAAATGATATATGACCAATGTCAAATTCACCATTGTTCCTCATCATTGCCTCCTAAAAGCAATAATACAATTTGTAAATGTGCTCAAACGATTCCTACGGTAACAGGATCTGATTGCATTACTGCTACGGTCCTTTCTGATGAAAGCCAAGCTACATCATCTAGTGAGAAAAAGAAAAAGAAGAAGAAAAAGAATAAATTTTCTTTAGATATTATGAAACAAAATGTAAGTTCCCCAAAGGACTCATATGACATTTCCACTGAAGGAAATACAGAGAATAAAGTAAACACCTGCACAATTCACAACACAAGAGAGACGATGAATCATTCCCCTACCCAGTTAGCAATTCATAAAGGAGGGCTTGCATTTCCTATTGGAAACTCTGATGGTGCTATTAAAATTGTAAACAACAGAGGTGATCTATATAGCCAGGTTTCAATCACATCCCAACAGAATGAATTAGAAGATAACATAAAGAAAAATCTAAATAGTCAGTTGTCCCACCAAAATAGCAAATCTATGAAAGCTGAAGATCTACTATTAATAAAGGATAACACAAAACATGAATTTGAACAGATTAAAGACGGGACATGTAAAGCTCTTAATAAAATAGAAGGACCACCTGCTTCACTAAAGCCTTTAGCTGATTTAGGAAATGGTCAGAAGGCAGAAGATAAAAAGGGAAAGATTATTTCAAACAACTTGATAAAATCATCCTCAAAACACAAAGAAGTGAAAAAGAAAAAAAAATCTGAAAGAGCTACAGGCAGTATAGACAAAGTATTGGATGAAACGAAAGTGTTGGATACGCTGGGGCATTCAGATTTTACAAATGAGATTACAAAACAATCTCTTGAAAACTACATTCAAACCTGGTTGCAAAATGTATATCCAAAGGCTGTGAGCCCCTCCAAACACTGGGCTCCTATAAACATGATGAACAAAAACCCACATCAGCTGACAGTAAAAACAGTCTTAGATAAAGGAAGTAAAGAAACTGGGAGGAATAATATTCCTGAAGATCAACTGAAGAGTACATTAAATAATCTTAATGAAGTGCAAGCTTTGGAAGAATCACTTAAAGAATTATATGAAACACACAAAGATTGTTTAAGAAATGTTGATGGCATCTTGAAAGATGAAGATAAATATCTGATGCTATCAGATACCCAGGAAAAAGCAAAATTTTCTATCTGTGATATTTCACATAAATGTAATAAAAAGCTTCAGGAAGAAACTGATCATGCAAGATGTAATTCTGAAATAAATGCTCAAGTTGATCCTAAATCTGTCCCAGGGATTGAGGCACAGAAGTATTGCAAAAATAGTCTTTTGCTACATAAGTTGAAATCAGCAATTTTCAATTTTGAAAAAAACAAAATAGGATGCCTCGAAAATTTAAATTGTCTTTCAGATATTTTTTCTTCTTCTCTCCTTGGATCTCCTTCCAATCTCCTACTAGTTTGGCTTCTACTAAACCTGAAAGAAAGTTTGCCCTTTATAAATAAGGATGACATGGTAGGAACTAGTTGCAGTTGTTCAGAAATCTTTATGCTATCGCAATATTTGAAACAGATTGCGGCTAAAGAAGAAGATGAAAACTTAATGACAGCTGCTTCTGACGTGCAGGATTGCACAGCAAACTGCTTGATATTCTCCGGGGTGCAAATAGAAAAACAGGAATTGACAAATTGCCAAGAAAATATTGCTCAGATTGAAACTAAAAATATACCAGGTGCTGAAGAACAAGAAAAACCAAACAAGGATTTAATTCTGAATGACAGTTTAAATTCTGAAGAAGTTTTAGATGTGAAAGAGGTAGCAGAAGAGCTACAGAGCAACTGTGAAGAACAGAAACCATGCAGCAGGCCAGCAGAAAATTCAGATATGTATGAAATGATTGTGATGCAAAATCTAAACTACACTAAAGCACATTCAGGAAATGTGGTTTCAAATGAAGACTTTCTTGAAGAAAATGAGTCTATTACATTGCAAGAATTAGAGGAAAAAATCCCAGATCCATCATTAAATAATGAAAAACCTGAGCTATTTGAAGAATCTAATATCTCTATTTTCAACAGTAGTGATCATACTAATGGGCGGATTTTTGATCTAGAATCATCACAATTAGACGATGAAGAATTAAATAGCTCAGAAAAGCAAAAATACATAGCATTAATATGTGAAAAAGAAAAGTCTGATGAGAATCTTACTTCAACTATTAAAAATACTATAAATGAGAACCATGTAGAAACTTCTACAACGGACAATCTAGAGGAAAATGATTCTTCAGTGGAAACCTCAGAGCAATTACCAATAACTTTACCACAACCTTTCCTTTATGAATCTAATAAAATTCCAATCAATATTGAAGATAAAAAGTCCAGAGTGAAATTAATAATAAATCACCTTGAATGTGGATCTCATTCAAATGCTTCTTCGGAGTTGAAAAAGACCATTGGAAGTCCTGGCACGTCTGATTTGTCTGATTATCGACCAGAAACTGATGAAAGTGACTGCAGGTCTAGGCCTTCTAGTGACTTGTCTGATGAAAGTACAGATGAAGCAATATATGAAAAAAACTACAACACAGGCTATGTAAAAAGAACTATTGAACGACTTTATGGTAAGGCAGAAACTGCATTTAAACCCATTTCCAAGCTTGGTTCTCCATATTTGGGTCAGATGCTACCCAAAGATGCAGAGGTTCCCTTACATGTAATCAGCAATAAAATCCCTTTGTTTGGTCAAGTTCATAATGAATGGCCTGAGGATAAAGTAGCTTCTTCATTAATATCATACGGTAACCATGATTTAAATGCAATCAGTGATGAATATGCTATTTTGCCAACCCCCGAATTCAGCCTTAATGGGGAAGAAACATATAATGCTGACTGTTCATTGCAAAATGCTAACCAACACAGTGAGTTTAAGGCCCAGATTGCTGAAAATGAAGGGATACTGATCGATAAAGGAAAATGGCTTCTTAAAGAAAACCATTTAATAAGAAAATCACCTCCTGATAACAGTGGAGTGTATGGCAAAATGGATACAACATCAGCTGATACCTTTTCTGACAATCATAGTAGTGATGCTCCCTATTCTCATTTGCAGAATATGGAGCTAAGGTCAGCATTGAAAGAAATATCATCTTCTGATTTG